CTCCACACTTGACTTCTCGTCCTTACTTCGCGTGCTTAAAATCGAAGCTGCCTCACCTTAGTATGACCGACCTCGTGGCCACAGCTGTGAAAGGGAGTACCTTAGTCTGGATGGGAAGCATCCAAAAGGCCGATGGGCTCAGACCGGTCAATGCGTCCCTGTCCCGCACTTGAAGAACACCCCTGAATCGATGGCCCGCATCTGCTCTTGCGCTGCGCCGCAAGCAACAAAAGCGGAAGGACCGCGATTCGCACGACTTGCCTACGTGTCCAGGCTTCTGGTGAGACCGGGGTGGCGCGCACCTCGTGCAGGATGCTTGCTCCGAGTATTGAGGTAGCTCAGCCGGACCTGCAAGTCGTCAAAAAGAAAAAGTGCCCTGGCTCGGGGAGTGCGGGAGCTGGGTTCCCAGGGATTTTGATTGACTTGACAGTTGAATTTCACAGCATTCTTGAAGTGAGCATACTGCCGCTAGTTTGGCTGGCAGGGTTTCGGTGTAGCTCCTGATGAGTCGGTCTGAAGCAGGAAACGATGTTTAAGATTCTGATGATGCTTCATGTCTCGGCATGTGATTATTTGTTGTCAAACACAGATTGGAAGGTGTGCTAAGCGCCTCATGCACCCCAGCCTGGAATCCCCATCATAAGCCGGTATCTGAACCGTTGGGCCAAGAAGTCAAAGGCGTACGGGTCAGGGGGAGCTCCGAAGAACAAACGTTCCATTCCGCAGGATCTCGATGCGGTTGAGGGTGTCACGACAACACTTGAGAGTGTGATTTTTTTGACAACTTAACAACATAACCAGTCTTGCTGATTTGCGGCACATTTTGAAGCATGACAAGGACGACAAGGGCTGGTCCCAGTACGAGCGTTGCCTCGGAGAAAAAGGTGAGAATGTGGGCACGACGGATCTCAATCACGACAAACACAAGATCAACAGGGTCACAATCCAGTTCAAAAAGAAGCAAGGAAATGCCAACGTAAAGTAGCTGACGCTTACGATTCAGCGGGAAGAAGAGCGATGCTAGTGGGTTTGTTGTTCAGCTGCCACAACGCCGGTGCAGCTCCGCATCATCTGCACCGGTCTTCCAACCAACTCAAGCTGGGGACTGTTGCGTCGATCACGTTGGCAGGTAAAGACTTGTGCATGACAAATATGACAACTGCTCATTTCTGGGTCGTGGTTGACAATCATCTTACATTTTATGAGTACTTAAACCCAGTAAGGAGCAAACCTGATTTTTTTGAAGTACCCCTAACAATGGTGCAGAATTGGTTAAGAGCCCCCAAATGCCTTCCGGAGGGCCCCCGAGTTAGCTGCGAACTGTTTAGGGTTTAGGGTTTCTTGTTTCCAGGGTCGGCTCGTGCCCCCCCCCCCTCCCGCATTCTTGTGTTTGGGGTGAAGGATGACAGGCTCCGGCAGATACGCGAACGAGAGCACATCCATTCTGGTTCCATTCTGGTTGTCTTGCTTAGATTTTCTGGTGATTTCTGGTGCGATTTCCCGTGCGGGTTTACAAGACTGACCCGATTCCGTTGCGAGCACGACGACGCCCACTCCCACTACTGCAGCTGCTGCTACTCAGTCCTTCTCGAAACTCCGACTCCTACTCCTGCTCCTACTCCTACTTCTACTCCTCAGGCTACTCGACTCGAGAGCTGGGGTTTGGGGCCGGGGCCCGTGATCCCGCTCAAGGTGTCTACGGCCTTCTCTGTGCGGAGGCTTGCTGAAGCCACTCTGTGAATTCCTGATTTCCTCCAACAGCGCGCCGAACATTATCGGGTTCCAACGGCCAGGTAAGAGGGTTTAGATTGTCGCGACCGCGCGGTGCCTGCGCCCGTTGCCATGCCTGCAACGTTGGCCCGCGCTACTCGCTCCAGGCTTGCTCGTGTTTTCGGCGAGACTTCGCGCTCTTGCCAAGGCGTGGGGGCATGCACGAAACGTGATGTTTCACACGGGTGCCAAATCGGGCTCCCACCGAGGTGTCGTGCACATTCCGTGCTAGTTTTTTCTTTCTCCTTGCTGGGTCTTTAAAAGTTATTCCGTGTTCTAGTGCCAACGAAATATAGATTCGGACGATGATCGGGCCAAATAATGTGCATGCAAGAGCTTCGAATACTCTTGTAGGAGCATGACTTCAACATGCTAGATGGTGATGTGCAATGAAGTTTAGTGTCGTGGTTTTAAACTTTGCTTGCTGATGCCGAGCTTTGTGACCACATGCTGGGACATCTTGCCTCAACGCTCCCATGTTCTGCGACCGATTTGAACCGGGAGCCTTTATGCAATATGAGGAGTCTTGTCAACTGTGCGAATGCAACTGTTTTCGCCGAAGCCTCTCTGGCTCGAACAAGCTGCACGGCAAAGGCCTTTGCGGAGGCTCGACCGCGAGTGAGATGGTCGTGCGTTGGTGGTGTCATTTAAGCTTGGGCAGGGCTAGAATTCCGAATGGCGTGCAAAGAGGTTCATCTGCTCATGTTTGCTGTCGTCATGTTCTTCAGGAATGTGGATCGTGCGCTTGACAGTTGGCTTTGTTTCGACGGTGGGCTCGCAAGAGGGGCAGTGGCACAAGGCTTCATGAAACAGCATCACAGATGAACAGGGCAAGGCAACTTCAACTGGTGCAGCACTGTAGATACCAGGATTATTACTATCACAGGCTCAGCCGTTGCTCGCCTGCAATCAACGAGTTGCAGACATCCTGGTGTGGCACAGGCATCTCCGATATGGCGGTTCCACCCTCAGTGCTGTCGTTGGAGCTAGTGTCGCGAAGCACCCGAAACCCTGAACCCTAAACCCGAAACCCTTAACCCCCTCAACAGTACAGCATGCCGAGACGTGTGTTGTTCTTGTGGTTTTCCCAAGGAGCTCAGCGACTTGAACAAGGCCCAAGTTCTGAGATTCATCAACTACTTCAAAGGTGGGGCCGGACGCGTTTACAGGACTCCGGTAAACAGGCTGTCGAAACTATATTGACCACGTGCTTAGGAGTGCAAAGCACCCAAGTAAAACAACAACCCTAAACCCTAAACCCTAAACCCTAAACCCTAAACCCTAAACCCTAAACCCTTTTTAAATCTTGCATGTCGTGCGCTTGCTCAGCAAAGCGCGAACGACTCCTTGCCGACCGAGAATCCGAGAAGGCGGAGTTCATCTCCGACAGGCCGGTGATGTCTGGTGGAGTTTAGGGTTTAGGGTTTAGGGTTTAGGGTTTAGGGTTTAGGGTTTAGGGTTTAGGGTTTAGGGCTAAGGGCTTTAAGTTTAGGGTTTAGGGGGGGCTCCGTGGGTGCTCTTTGCGGAGGAGCCGAAGAAGTGTTTGTCAAACTCCGGATGCGGTGCTTTAGAGAGCAATGGAAGCATACCTTGTGATCACCATCTTGGTGCTTCTTTGTCCTGGCGGTGGTTTGAAGTTTGCATTGTCGGTTGCCTACTTTGAAGAGCGGCCTTGACGTCAGGGTACGTTTTGGTAGAAGGCCTCCTGTCCGGGGCAAGACAGCCTGACTACTGATAAGAGCTCGCTTGGTTGCATGCATCCCTAGCTTCGAGTGAGAAACTCTCGCATTAAGACCGTGTATTCTCCGCAGCAGGCTCGTCGGATCCTTTTAGGGTTTAGGGTTTTTCGCGTTGTGTGGCGCGATGTATTGTTGTGGAAGCGCGGAGAGTCGACCTCAAGCACAGTTCGAACAGCGTACGTGTGCCGCAGAATGTCACAAGGATCAGAGTTCGCAGAACCCTGCAGTCCATGTAGTCCCAAACCTGAATGCCCACGGGCATTAACTCTCGAGCGGTTTCTACCCTAAACGCAGACCCTAAACCCCTAAACCCCTAAACCCCTAAACCCCTAAACCCCTAAACCCCTAAACCCCTAAACCCCTAAACCCCTAAACCCCTAAACCCCTAAACCCCTAAACCCCTGAAACCCCTAAACCCCTAAACCCCTAAACCCCTAAACCCCCAAACCCCCAAACCCCAAAACCCCTAAACCACTAAACCCTAAACCCTAACCTCTAACCCGAAACCGAAACCCTCAACCCTAAACCCCAAACCCCTAAACCCTAAACCCTCAGCCAGCTTCTCACTTGCGAAGCACCTGGAGGCTAGCAGATGACGAAGCGATCTTCAGCAAAGCGGACGCGCGCCTCTCAGGATTCGGACAACTTCGCCTTCGGCAGCCTTTGCTCAAGGGCAGTCGAATGGGGTTTAGGGTTTGGGGTTTAGGGTGTAGGGTTTAGGGTGTAGGGTTTAGGGTTTGGGGTTTGGGGTTTAGGGTTCAGGGATTCAGGTCCAGCAAGATGTGGGCATTTCCAACAGTAGGGGTGCCCCTGATCTACGCCACAATAGTATAAGGTTCATGATTGGAGCCCCCTCGCAAAAAAAGAATGGCTACTCTAAAGCCTTAAATCCCGAAACCCGAAACCCTCTAACCCTAAACCCTAAACCCTAAACCCTAAACCCTAAACCCTAAACCCTAAACCCTAAACCCTAAACCCTAAACCCTGAAGATCCCAAACCCCTTTGTGCTTTGTCCGCTGCGAGGTCGAAGGCTTCCTAGAGGCCTACCATGGACAGGTCATCGGAACTGTGAGAGAGGCCATTGAGGCTGGGCGGGGAGGGGGGGAGAATTCACTAAACCCTAAGACCTCTTGGGGGCAGACTTGAAAATCGCTGCGTTCCACTTGAGTGGGGAAGGGTTATGAGTGTATGGTGCATCCATGTGCTTCCCAAGGTACACCCTTTTGAGATACTCTCAGCCTCCTAGGCTCGGGACTACAGCAACCGGAAAGAAACATGCGTAGGTCCTCGGCTGTACATCCGGCATGGGTGTCTGCTCAAGCCTTCACGTACCGCAGCAGTTTGCGGCAGGCTGCAGCAGGTTTGGTCAGATAGGTCAGTTTGCAAGACTTGGTGGCGTGGAGAACCAACCATACACCTTCTGAAGGCCTTTGTTGCGGTACAGTGCCCTTTCGGGTTCTAGGAAAGCAAAGCGTCGGGATTTTTCAGCCATGATGCGGCTCGCCCTGGCATGGTGGATCAGCTGCCTGTCTTCCAGGTACGGGCACTTGGGACATTACGTAGTGTCTTGTGCTTCTGAGTCGGATACCATGAGGATGTTCGAGCTTTCAAGGGCCCTCTTTCGCATAAGGAGCATGTGGTCAGACATGTCAAAGGGCGCCGCTACACATGAAGAGGGAGTCCTTACAGGTCCCAAGAAGCAATCTCTTCTTCATGGGTCTCCACCTCTCATTGCGTCATGACATGGTCTTCAACCCTAAACCCCACACCCTAAACCTAACTCAGCTTGCGACGGCCTTGCAGGTTGGCTGAGGCGAAGGACCGTGGCAATTATGCAAGATTACGCAAGGGATTCCGTAGGGCATCAACATGCGTCAAGGTTCAGGGGGAGCCATGAATTGCTGGACGTGTTTTGAGTTCTGGCAAGACCCCAGCTTCAGCCCCTCCCAAACCAAGTTTGTAAGCTTCGACTGCTTCCGAGCAGGTGCTTGGCAAGCTTTCTAACACGGAACGTGGCACAAGAACCGAGGTCGGTCAGAAAGTGCCAAGTGCTTAGTGGTTGTCCTCTGTTCACATGCTCCACGAGACGCACTCCGACACGGGCATGGTTCCCCAGTAGCCGAAATTCTCCTCTGTTTGGTCAGGACTGTTCGCAAGGATACTTTGAGCGTCCAGCACGGCCCAAGCGGGATCCCACGGAACACAATGGCCAGGCGAGGAACGGGTCTTTTCGCTGGAGCACCTCAGAAGTAGCACCATTGGCGTAATTTCAGGACCAAGGCATCTGGTAAAAACACCTTGCATTCTGAGTCCAACCTTCTTGCTAGTTCTTGGGGCGAGAGAGCCCTTCTTGTCCGCAGCAGTGCACAGTCGGATAGTTGTTGCGGATGACCCAGTCTCCGTATCCAGTTCTGCAGGGACACATCGTTTGCTTGGTTGTCTTGCGTACAGGAACACGCAGCCACCCTAAACCCTAAACCCTAAACCCTAAACCCTAAACCCTAAACCCGAAACCCTAAACCCTAAACCCTAAACCCTAAACCCTAAACCCTAAACCC